AAGATTGCTGTCTTCTTGGCTGTTTCAGAGGTTATGCTGCCTCCACCATCAGGGCAATCGTGATCGGCAGAACAACCCAGAAGACAGCAATCTTCAGACTCACCACTGTGAAAACCTCAAATCTTACAATATATTATATGTCAGAATTTAAAAATTATCTATTAATGATATATAATATATATATAATGATGTGTGTGTCAGCAGTAACCTGAATGCATTTAATCTTCTCTTTTTGAAACTTCCCTGAAATTAGCTGGAAATGTAATGATGGAACTAGAAGTTGAGCTGTCCCATCTTTGGACAACTATTCTTTTTGGGTGCACAGTTCTTTAAACAAGAAATATTAATATTTTAATGCTTGCAGGAACATTTAAATATGTGGTAAGAACAGTAAAGTAATTACACAGATATAAGGTCTTGCAGGTGTAATATTGAGCATAAGGAGATAAAACTCTCATAAACTGTCTGATTCAGTCAACATAATCAGAAAATAGGTTTAACTATTAGGACAGATAAAACAGAAATGAGGAGGGAAAACTGGGATTTGTTAGTATCTTAATGTACATCTTAGCTACAATTTGATGAAACCAATTTAGATGACATGGGGAGAGTTTTCATCTGATGTTTCTGTATGAAGTTCACGTTCTTTGAGCAAGGATTGATTCATTTCTGCACTATTTTGACAATCTCCAAGTTTTTAGCTTAAAATTGTCATGTAATTCTGTCTTCAAACAAAGTGTATCTGTAAGTGCAATATCTACATCACAGAGTGTGAGGTCCTGTTTGGAATGACAAGTTTCAAGCCCGTACTTACACACTTCACTCATTCTTAACACGAGAACATTCACTTCTTCAGGCACATGCTGTAACTTCGTAACTGAAGGAATGGCATTCACAAACACTAACTTCGTCAAGCCGACAGCTACTAACTTACTTCCACACAACTTGCTGAGGTACCAGCATGTTCCCTAAGATCAGGTAACCACTGAAGTCTACCTGCTCTTAAATCCATTTCTTCCTGGTTACTGAATTGGTTCCATAGACATCTAGAGAGTACTACTTATTGTAATCTACATATACCCTAACCACTTCTCCTGAATACTTCCTCTGGGAAGGCATGAAGTAAAAATCAGGTTGTAGTTCATTGTGTGGACGAGGTGGTCCACGATGTCGATCTTGCGTGTAATAGCCATTATGAGGGGGGCCGGCTCCTCCAGCCTGATGCACTGTTCTAGGAAGGGAGTATGTGGTCCGCTCTATAGGACCAGGCACCTGGTAACCACCACCACCACCTCGTGGACGCTGCAGAGACCTTGTGTCAGCATAATGCCCTCCATTGTTTTGGTAGCCACCACTGTTGTGTGCCATAGCAGTAAGTGGTTTGTGTGGGCCTCCCAGTGCACGAGAGGAACTGTTGTTAGGTAATGTTCCTGATGGTCCTGTAGGCTTCTCTTCAGACTCAAATGCTTCAAAAGCATAATTCGTGTTGGCAGCAGAATAATCTTTCCAGGCAGAATTTGGAAGTAGGTGATCCTAAGAATAATAAACATAATTTCAATTTTTTGTATCAAATTTTATTGTAAGGAAAATCTGACAATGTACAATTCAAATACTGTGCAACTTTCCAGTATAAAACACGGGCATACTGTTGACTTCATCCATTTAAAAAAATCCACCCAAGGCAAAATATAATTTTCTGGGGCAGGCAGACAACACTTTTGTTGTCAAATAAAAATGTTCTGTGTTCATTTCTGCTTAACCACCAGCAAGTACAACCTATCCTTGGTTAAAGTGCAATTACCATAGAAGTATTATTATTTGACAACAAAAGAGTTTTTGTTATAGCCAAAAAAAAATGCAAACTGTAAACGTTACCTTTGCATTGATGTAATCTGTATTCTGTTGCAGTGATTGTTACATTCTTATAAAAATCTGGGACAGTATGAATCAAACTATGCACTCAAGCTAGGTATGTATTCACAGATTTCATAACACATACATACTGGAACTTTTTAAGATCTTGGTTTGCACAATCCAGTGTATGCAACAAGTTTGTTTTGGTATGAATTATCAACATGATTTAACTTTTTTTGCTTTCAGCAGCACATAATGGGAATCATTCAAGGCAACAGTGAAAAAGAAAGATCATTGATAATTATATACAAATAAAGAAAATTTTTGATAGGATGCACTCTTGATTCTGCAAACCATTGATTAAGTGTTGTAACTTCAGTTTTATATACTGCCATCAGTTTCAGTGACATGCCTGAGAGAAATGTGAATAATGACAAATGGAAAACAGTTACTGAAGACTTTCATGCATTTTCTTCTGGGTTCTTATATTTGTTGAAAAGTTAGGTTAGGATGCAACTTGACTTCACTCACCCGGTAGTTACCAGTTTCTCCGAGCTGTGACAAAACTGGGCTGTTCCGAGTGAGCTGAAGTCCAGTTACCGGTGTAAAGGTAAGGTGCAGGGGAGTCACTGGGGTGGAAATGGCCTGGTGTCCCAAGCGGGATTGCATACACCCGCTACGTACAGCATACCAGTCAAGAGAGACCATTACCCGAAAATGAGAATGTAATGATATGGGATTAGTGTCCTAATTTTGCAGTTCCCAAGTCTCAATTACCATAATAATTTTAATGTGTCAACGTTATACATTAATCTGATCATTTGGTGCACCATAAAAATTCACTGTATCCTAATGTTATCAGACCAGTCTAATTACATTCTTCATGCACATTTGAATGTACTATGTTCTGATGTGAAGGACATGACAATGAGAGGTGATATTTCTGTGTGAAGTTCTGTTTTCCAGTTAGATTCATAGTGTTGAAACTTGAATGTAATATTAACCCAGTCTTAGTGGTATAGGGTATTTTAAAGTGTTTATGTTGTAAATATATGTATATATTCTTGCTTTCAGGCAATTTATTTTGGTAAAAGTTTATTATGTAAGACTTGAGGTTCTCACAGCGGTGAGTATGAAGATTTCCTGCATTTTGTAATCATCAAAGAAAGTAACTTCTCGGGTTAGCATTTATAGTGAAATCTATTAAAACAGAAACCTCTAAGAACTGGAACATAAAGATTTCTGTCTTCTGGGTTGGTGTAGTCTGGTCGATGTTAACCAACGTTTTAGAGGTCATACTGCCTCCGTCATCAGGGCGATGAAACGTTGGTTAACATCAACCAGACTACACAGCGCAACAACCCAGAACATGGAAATCTTCAAAAGTTTATTACAATGAATTTAATTGAACTTCAAGAATTTGTTAAATGGAATTTAATTAATCTTTTCACACTAGTCCTTTTGGACTATACTTCACTACTATATGATAATTTTTATGTAGCAAATGCTTTGTGAATTTGAATTCTTGTATGTCATGAGACTTAAGATAGTTTGAAAATCTGTGTCGTTATAACCAAGATTATTATTTATAAGGTTTTTGAAAATACCTGCTTTTTGCATTTGCATTGCAGTTCATGGTAGATAGTAGCCATTATTTGAAATATATTTGATATACACAAGTCTTCAAGTAGTTGTGTATGACATTTTGTGTTTATTCTCAATACTAGGACTGAATCTTGAATCCTTTGAATAAACCATTAGATCACAAAACTTATTACATGCTTTGATGTGAGTTCTGGTCCATAAGGTTTCATGATTACACAAGCTGCACTTCCAACAGTATCATGTGTTGAAGATGGCTTTGGTAGAAGTTTACCAACATTTCAGGGGTGCTTGCTGCCTCCATCATTGCCCTGATGAAGGAGGCATCAGACACCTCTGAAACATTGGTAAACTTCTACCAGACTACATGGTGCAATGTGAAAACAGCCATCTTCATAGTCACTGTTGCGAGAACCAGAACTCTCATTCAAATCATGTGTTATTCAAAATTGGGATTGCCACATTAGGGAGTTCTACATCATGCTTCATGTGAAGACAGCTAAATACTAATAAAGGATTGTGAAGGGGTTGTTTCACATGCTGTTGCTTGGATTACTTCATTTGGCTTCTTTGATGCTAGAGCAAAGGCATGTAGAAGTGATCACTGCCAGTCAACAGATTTCATGAGAACAATCATGGTATCATTATATTTCTGAGTATCAGCAGAATAATTCTGAATGGAATTCTAGAATCACTGCAATTACCATGTCACCTACCTTATGATGGGAGGAAGGATTCCGTGCTGTCTTGTAAATGGTACATCCTGCTTGAATAACAGCAATCAAAACCAGAGCCGCAATACAGCCAATGACAATGTATAGTTTTGTCGCTGACAGCAGCAGTCCTCCATTCTGAGACTCCCCTTCAATGGGAATAGTAGATGTCACTGTGAGATGTGAAGCAAACCACTTAGTTTCCTAACAGTCCCTCTACAGTATTTAATGTATTGGGTTGTCATAAGACATGGTACAACACAATTTTAAACTTGTAAATGTACTCACATCCCTGTGACTCGAACACTAGATACCCTGGATCAACAGCAAGGTTTCCAGCTCTGCCTGTCGTAACAGTCTCCTGCAGCACCTTCTCCACTGGATTCAAATCCTCTTTGAGAGATCTCCCTTTCTCATATTGTGCCTTATCCATGATCACATTCATTTTGGCAAGCACTTTGCCATCAATTCTGTTAATAAATAACAGGTATGTACTTTAGAAGCAGAGTAATACAGAAAAACTAAAACATCATAAAATTATAATTAGTTTCTGCAAAATGGGAAGTAAACCAGACAAAACTTTAGTGAAAAGTGAATAAGATTAACCCTAAACTGAGATACATTTTTATTATCATATTAATGAATAAAATAAACTTGAAAAAACTGCATAACAAAACAATTAGTTCAAATAATTATATACCACTAGAAAAGTATTATTTCATTCATACACATACACAAAAAACATCTGTGTTATGGCCCTGTCCAAATGTCCATAAGATTATTTCTCTGTAACAGATTTTTCCCTCTTAGTAATAATTAACAAAATTTACTATTTTTTTGTTCCATTTCTGTATGTCATAAACAATGTTGTATCATTGCTTATGGAGTACAGAGTGTTACAGAACCTGAAAACTGACCATGATTAGAATTCATGATACTCAAAATTATTTTGTTAGACATACTGAAATACATAATGTTTTATTAAATTGATGGCATTCTGCATTATTGTCCCACATCCAGCTAAACCATGTGATAATATATAATAAATGGCAACAGCAAATCTGGTCTGACTTAATGGTTTATTATGTTAGCATACACGGTTAGCGTTCAAAAGGTTCAAAGTTTCCATCAATACAATGACAACAGAAACCACAAACCTATTCTTTCAAATATTAAATGGAACAATGAAAATAACTTACTCTTGAAATTGGTTGACATGAAGCTTATAGAATCCAGGCAGCTTTCCCAAGGCACCACTGAAACCGCTACTGACTGTATTGGAAAGAATGTCATACTCGGGGGAACCAGGTTTTGGTATCTGGAAATTTTCACCCAGGTTCACCAGCTTCACTTCCACATTGTAGGAAAGACGTGGAGGAGTGGTAGTTGAAGTCACCAACACCGAGTTTGTGTCTGTACAGCACATATGGATACTTGGTTGAAATGACAGCATGTTGTATCACATACACTAAATTTTGTTTGTAATATGTGTGTATCAGATGTGCTATGTAAAAAGTGATTCATTCTTAAGTTATACACTGACACTCAACTGCAAAGTTATATAGTGACATAAGGGATTAGGTAGTGAGGAGGTAAGGAATTGGTCATGGCCCGTTTTAAGGTACAAACCTGGAATTCTCTGGAAAGACTGAGGAAAACCACAGAAAGTTCAGGATAACCAGTAAAATGTCTGTAATTCTAACATGGTATCTCTAAATACAGGCCAACTGCATTATTGCAGAGTTATTCAGCTCCATACCTTTTATTCGGAAGAGAAGGTTTCACAAGACAAGGGTTATAAGTTTTATCAGTCACATAAGCATCATTTAACTATTAATATCTGTAATAACTGTAGTCACTCCGGAATCACTAATATTTAATATGTAACTTAAATTTTGGCACTTTTTAAATATTGTTTGGATGAGTTTTGGAATGAAACAGACAAAATTGAAAATAGCAGTGGAACTTTTGCTTGTGAAGTTTTGCACTAAACTAATGTATATATCGTATAGTTTCTGTCTACATTACATGTGTAGAACATACCTCTGACACACGGCCTGATGCAGATCCTGTCAGCTGAAACACTGGGTGTTATCTCGTGCTTCCGTATCTTTTTGTTGACAGAATGAAACATGCCACCCCTAACTGGAAACATGAAATAGAAGCACTGGTCCTCTGTGAAGGAAACATCCTGAAAAAAAGGAGTGCATTTATTTTACATTGTACTCTCAATGCACTTTCAACTAAATAACACTGAAACTACAGTCCTACCAGAAATATAAGTTCATTTTATATAACAAAATTCATTACAAACACACAAACAGTGTTAATTATGAAACTCATTACACAGTTTCCTCAAGTATCCTGTTATGAAATCCTCCTCATATACAAGCATTCTCCTTAGTTCCATTTTCTCAAACATTCTCATTCTAAGTAAGACTTGAGGTTCTCACAGCGGTGAGTATGAAGATTTCCGTCTTCTGGGTTGTTGCGCTGTGTAGTCTGGTTGATGTTAACCAATGTTTCAGAGGTCATACTGCCTCCGTCATCAGGGCCTGATGACGGAGGCAGTATGACCTCTGAAACATTGGTTAACATCAACCAGACTACACAGCGCAACAACCCAGAAGACGGAAATCTTCATACTCACCGCTGTGAGAACGGTCATACTGCCTCCGTCATCAGGGCCTGATGACGGAGGCAGTATGACCTCTGAAACGTTGGTTAACATCAACCAGACTACACAGCGCAACAACCCAGAAGACGGAAATCTTCATTCTCATTCTAAGTTCTAGCTTAGGTAAGAGGGCTCTGGTGAAAAAGACATTAAAATATGCAGTAAAACCCATTTATAGTGTTTTGCAGTGAATCACAATTTGTGAACACTATAATCAGAAAGTAATATACGTGGGAAATGCTTCCATTTGCATTGTGAAGGGTGAAAACCAACCATCCCAGTTTTCTTGCTATTTAGTATTTCCTTAATTTATTTCTGTTAGCCACAGGAATAAACTAAAATCTTCAAATAATAACAATATTACACTGTACAGTATATCATAATCATATTTATTGCAGGAACTACTGTTTGGTCCAGTTTATACAAAAATGATTTCCTATACCTTCTCTTCATGACATAAATAACATTTAAATCCACACATTACAATTCACTAGTGCAGTTTGCAAGGGAGAAAATAATTTCACATTTTTTGGGCATGCTGTGTCAGGAAGGTGTGCTGGACATCTGTCGACAAAGAGAACCACTTTTTGGGGCAGTGGCCTCTATTATTGCATCAAATGCTCTCAGAACAACAAACAATTCTGGGGTGATCAATACATGCATTCATGCTGTTTTTGTAGTTGCTTGGCTTGGTTGAATCTCCTCAGTTTGGCATGCTTCATTTTAACTAACTTACCTTTGAATCTGAAGACAATCTCTTCCTTGTAAAACTTAATGTAGTGACGCCATCTACAATACGGCCACTTGCGTTGTAGATGTCTTGTGATGTGTCAAGCAGTGGGGATGTATAACCTCCAATCCACGTATCCATAAGGAATGCACGTCCGTTACTGTCCACCCAACCCAAGATGGCATCAGTCTGGGACTGAACATGAACAAAAACTGCCATGTTATTGGATTATATATAAAGTTGTGACCTTAAACTGCCTGACATCATGAGTTAAGTGTTATGCCTTTTATATGCAAGACTGACATTAAGAGTTCTGAGTTTCATTCTAAATGCTGGAGGAAAATCCACTTCTGTGTTTTATTGGTCCATCAAACAGAAAAGCTTCAGAACCTCCAGTATAATGAATCAATCATATATTGTCATACACATTTAGAAAATCATTACTTTCCTGCAGTCAAAAGGAGATTGAAGCTTGACTAATAATCCACAGGTCAGTTCAGAAAGAACTTTTTAAAAGAATGTAACTGCAGATGTAACACACAAGTGGGCCCACACATGATGCAGAAAATCTTGCTCCTAATAACTCTGTTAGATCTACTGATATGAACTTTACCAAGAGCCATGTTATGATATGGGGCAGACTTCTACCAAATGATCTTTGAACAGGGATGAGAAAAATATTATCCTTGGACCAGAAACAACGTCTGAGGATATTCAATGTGCCTTGCAGCCTACTATAACCACAACTGGGTATGAGAAAGTCATGTGAGACACACTTTAGAATTGGTTTACTGTGTCTACAATATTGTGAGAATGTAGAGAATTGAGATAAATTGGTCAACTAGTAGGTCCAACTTAGTGTCCCTGTAGTATAGGATAAAGCAAAGAGATATCAGCACTTATTGATAAAAGAAAGGTTTGGTTTTTATGTTGAGATAAAGACATCACCAATGCAGAAAAGATATTATTATTATTATAATGAATGTTTAATGAAATTCATCATGTAATCATAGTATGAAGTTATAAACACCATGGTGCATGGTTATCCCTGCATTTATAGACACAAGGGTTCATCACTGTGTTTACAAAAGCCCACCACTGGACTCTCCCACTCATTCTGACCACACTTCTGTAAGGTATATATTAATACATCCTTCTACCTATGCCTGTGTCCATCATGGTTTCCTGCTAGTATGTTGTATGCATTTCTTATCTTCCTCTTACTACATGCTCTACTCAATTATCTTCCATATTCTAATCTATAATATTAAGTGTAGAGATCAAAGTGTGAAGCTTCTCATTATGTTATCTTGTCTGTCCTGTCACTTCCTGTTTTATATGTCCAGATATTCTTCTTGGCTCTTTGTTCTCCAACTGTGGTCTTCCCTTAGGCTGAGAAATCAAATAGATAAAATTATTTTACTGTGAACAGAGTAGAGCTACCATACCAAAAAAATCATATTTAATGGTGTCAATGATGCAGTGAATGAATGTAGCACGCATATAAGGAATGAGAAACACATACAGAATTATACTAGAAACACCTTAAGGGAAGAGATCACTTGGAAGACCTAAAATTATACTGGATAATAGTGAAAAGAAATCAAGTGGGAGAACAGGATGCATCAAATTAGGAGTAAGTGACAGGCTTTCTATTGTAAATGTGGTAAAGAACTTTCAAGTTCCATAAATTTCTTTACTGTTCAAGGAAGGACTGTACTCCACATTGTCAGTCAGTAAAAATGATGCTTCCAGGTATGGTCTATGTTGGCCTTCCTGACCTTTGCCCACCTAGGCAAGGGGGCAGAATCTATAAAGATTTCCGTCTTCTGGGTTGTTGCGCTGTGTAGTCTGGTCGATGTTAACCAACGTTTCAGAGGTCATACTGCCTCCGTCATCAGGGCGATGACGGAGGCAGTATGACCTCTGAAACGTTGGTTAACATCGACCAGACTACACAGCGCAACAAATCAGAAGACAGAAATCTTCATACTCACTGCTGTGAAAACCTCAAATCTTACAGGCAGAATCTACTTCTGAGTTGGGAGTACGCACATGGCAGATTATGTTAGTGATAGGATGATCATGATTGGCTGAGAGGACCTACAGCTAAATGTAGACTTCAAATCTTGATGAAGGCATGGTATTCTTCAGTTTCCCAAAGTTTTATCTTGGCAAATTTGAAGGTTTAAGTCTGTGAGCAAGTTCCCCTTAGTCTAAATAGGTCAAAGTATTGAACTGTAAAAAAAAAAAAATTAATTATTGAGGCCACTGTTTAATGATTACATGACTTACCATCTTTGTATCATTTGAGAATGCTATTCCTGTCCATGTAGTAGTGTGTTTAGTTTCAATAGTGAAGTGAATTTCATCCTTCTTGGGCAGATGCTCCCACTTAGCATAATATTCACAGTTGTGTTGCTCTGGGTCACAGTTCCGTGGTGTCCGCCAGTGACCACCACAGATACTAGGATCTATCACTGTTGATGTCTCTGACTGACGGACTGTCTCTTCTGTAAGACAGCAAATTAAAAACACCCACCATTACGTCAGATCATACCACAGTAGGATGGACATTATGCTCACAGTTTGCACCAAGCTGACTGAAGTAGTGGTGATGCTCTAAATTCGTATTCAGGAAGTATCTAGTTCATTTGTTAGCTGAGCTACAGTCTATCCCAAAATAATTTTCCATGATTTTTCATTCTCTGTAGTAAAAGATGAAGTGGTACCTTCTCATATGCCTAGGCTGCCTTCATGCAAATTAGATATTCTTACCTGTGCACCATTCATGATCATCTTCCCATCACTTTCAACACTGATCAACAACCTCTGAAGTTCAGACACCGTTATTAAGGTAACTTCAGAATCTAGCACAACTGGCAAGATCCATGAACTAAATTCAGAAGTTCTCTTTGAATGTCTCTTCTGACATTCAAGCAGACTAGAGAATATTTCAGAAGACAAATATGGCACTTCAGCATAAAACCAATGACCAACTTATTTAATATGCTTCCTTAACAAGTGGTGAATTGCTGATTATGTATGACTTTATTCTTTCTTTCTGCTACAAAGATAGGATTGAAGATATTTTCTGTGAGCCTTACTACTTTACAAAGAAAAAATAAGTTTTTAATTGTGTGTAATCCGAACAAATACTGTTTTTACTTGTGCATCTGTGGAAAAAATGAAAATATTTTATCAGTATTTAAAACTAAAGTCATTTTTATGTGGAAATAAGAAAAAAATTATAGGCCAGGGTTAATGTAGAAGAAAACAGCATGTTTCCTACGTTGTATTACTGCCTCATATTACAACATGATATATAAAACATAAAAGGATTCACTGTGGGTAAGAAAGCAGGTACACAGATGTATAAACTGAAGCTTTCACAGCAACTGAAGTTGATGAAAGACTCTCAGGTGGCTTGTAACCCGAGAGTCTTTCAACAGGTACACAGATGACCATATTATTTGATCAAACAGATGATGACTTACAAAGATATCTCAGTTTATTTAAATGAATAATGGAAATGCTTGGCACTGAAATTTTTGTTGATAAATCTAAAACAAATGGCATTAAATGGGCGCAGTCTTTGTACATATAAAAAGTATAGTATGTGAACAGGTCATGTGTTTGAAATAAGATAATGGTTAAGACAAAAAGTCATAAGATAATATAGGAATGCATATTAGACAGCCCCCATTAAAAAAATATCATGTATAGAATAGAATATCATGTAGGTGAATTTTATATTACTTTACACCATTCTAACTATAATGACAAAATTCTTCATATGTAATTACACACAATGGCCTACTGATGAAGCTTACCAAAGAAATTGAGTGTAGTCTGTCCTCTTTGGGTGCCATGACCATGATACTTCAGCTCATCTTGACGGTAAAAATCTTTCACAGATGCAAAATCCCGCTCCAGTCCTGACTTTGGATTGTGGATATAATGATCTGGTTCCTGCCCTTGGGACCAGATGACATGCATCAAATCCTCTTCTATTGAGTGATCTGTTGGCTCTGCCCCTGAAATTAAAATTGTACTTTCAAATTTCAGCATAATGTAAGTTCAAAGTAAGTGGCAGAAATCAGTTGTTCTGCCAGAGACATTATCCATCAAAGTAAACCTAATGTTTTGAAGTGATTCCTATATGTACTTACTGTACATACATATGAATATACATTCCAAAACTAGTCCAATTGACAAGCAGGATGTTGAATAAGTCACAAAAATACAAAACATACAGACAAATACCATTCAAAATATAAAATTCCATATAAAATAAAGGTTTCACATAAAGTATCCACCAAATATTACATTAAATCCATACATATAAAGTATATAAATTGTACAATATAGAGACAAGAACCTTTAGAAAGATAATGGGATTTCATCAAAGATTAAAGGAATTTGTATTTAAGGATCTTTTTAATGCTACTTCATATTGTGCCTTCTTATAAAAATTTTGATACTAGAGAGTACACTGGTGAAAATATCAGTGCAAGAAGATATGCACTTTTTTTTAAATATTAAAGGTTGACAATAATCTGTGAAGATGGCCCTTATTCTGTGTTACCATTGTGTAACGTTGAATTTGTCTGAAATTACTGATTGTTTTCAATAAAGTTCATTAATGAAAATATGTATTCACATGGAAGAGGCAAGACATTTAATTTCATAAACTTCTACATGAATTATAACAATTTTATTTTGTAGAATTAATATAACTTACTTTTAGATTCTGGTTCTGGTTTATATACATACATTTTCAATGCATCTATCTTGTACAAGAAATTTTTGATTGCAGCAGTAAGAGATGGAATTCTGTTTTGAAGTATTGGTTTGTCAATATTTAAAAGTACTTGTCAACATGAGGTGATACATACCTTTCAGCTTCTTCCTGAACAAGATTGTTGTAATGCCATCCTTTTCAAATCCCATGGCAGCAGTGAGATCATTTTTACCTCCCCAGAAAGTGTCAAACCGTGGTGTAGACCTGCACATAACATATCAAAATTAGTAATTGTGAACAGCAATGTAATGCATTTTATTTACACAGCTGGATGAACTGATTTATTTTACAAAAGAATGGGTCAGAGCTTTATTTCTAGGAACAGTACACATGCTGGCACTTTATTCTACAATACAAAGAGGAAAACGTTATAATTCTGTTATAAAATTTACTCAATCATGTTATTCTCTTATTAAATTGATTTTGTTATTCACTGTTCTAAAAAAAATTTACTGTCTAACATTATAACGGTATATATTTTGTGTCACAAATTAAAAATTGCCCTTGTAATCACACCTTTCATGTCAGAAGGAAGAGGGTGGGAGAACTGGTAATATATTAACTTCAGTATCCTTGAACCTATTTGGTTCTCACTGGACAGAATTTATAAACATCTGGACTGCAATAAAGTAAATACATTTGATTTTGAGTCACATCCATAATTGTTGCCAATAGATGAAAAATTCTACGGCGATCTCTATAAACTATTAAACAGTTTGCCTTATTCTTATAAAAGTATGCAAATTTAAATTATGCCACAGATGGTACAGCATATTCAGTGTTGAGGCATACTGGTTTACCAGTAGGGGGCCTGTTATTGCTAATGTATAAAGATTAATACTATCTTAATGCACCTACTTGTACATTCTATACACTTTCCCAAAGAACATTTCATATGTATGGGCTTATATATGGGAAATGAGGGTGATATATAAATATTATAATAACCACAAGGTGATTAAGTCTGAAGTATGTGATTCACCTACTATATATCTTTACCACAAATTTGTCCCAGAAGTAAGAAACTTTGGGAACTTTAGTTCTAAAGATAAAGGACACTTGAAACAGTATCAATTTCCATGCATCTCTTGAAGAGCAAAATAGTAATAATAAATATGACAAGAATGTTTTCTTTGTTAGTACCGGTCTCGTGTATAATAATCCCAGATGCGACTTGCTGTTCCTCGGGCAGATCCAATAACTATGTCTGTGCAATCCATGGCATTGAAATCATGGTGAGGTGCATAAGGATGAGTGTAGGTTATGCTGCTGGGCTCTGTAAAAGTGACAGATTTTCCAAATGAAATTTCATGTGCATCACCCCCCCCCCCCCCCCATGCATGCTACACGCCCTGCCCACCTAAATCTTGGATTTGATTGATCACCCTAATAATGCTTCGTGAAGAGTACAAATTATGAACCTTCTCATAAAACAAGGAATATATTACTACTTTATATAATTATTAGATTGTAAACATTGATGGCCTCACTATACAATATGAAATATGTATTTGAACGAAAGGTGTCTAAGTTCCTCCCACAATTTTTTCTTCCTTTTCTCTTGATTTTGTGGGCAGTGATTCTCAGCAAAAATTACTACCTTACCAGACTACATGGCACAACAACCCAGAAGTCAGTCATCTTCAATTTACAGTTTCTTTATATCAACTGCATAGGTTATATAGCCCCAAATTATGGAATTATTATGAATTGTAAGCTTGGAGGGACGTGGGAAGAAATGGACAGTGGAGATTTAAACCAGGGGCCTCTGAATATAAGGAGTACCTGAAGTTACCCTGTGACATTTGGTAATTCAGAACAGAAACATATGCACTCTTATTGTGATGTAATCCAAACTCAGAGAGCTGACACACTAGTTGGTTAACTGCATATTCAGTAAAGATGAACAACAGAAACTATGCTTAGTTACAGTAATTTATGGTACATTTATTTTGAAACATGTATGCTTTTTCTTATTCTTGGAGTGCAACCTTTAGTGTGATATATAATAATATGAATCTGTGTAAGAAATGTCTAATTTTTATGTTATAAGTCCTATATACAGATTAACTTATGACAACAATACTATACATTAAGATCCATATTCGGTTTTGATTTAATTTATCACACAGTATGCAATAAAAGTTTACATTATGTACACGCCATGCAAACTAAAAGCTTTATGCTAATGATGTACAATACTACCAGGTGGCAGAATGCAAAGATATATGAGAAGTATTAAAAGATAATATTAACACTGTACACTCAGGCTGTACCATATTCAGCATGACAGTTTTAATTTTACTGTACCTTGAAGACTGGACTTTGAGGTTCCTTCCTTCTCAGTTTGATATTTTGAATTTGACTCTCGTTTGGATTCAGGTTCAGGCTCAGAATTTGGTTCAGGTTTTGCATCTGGTTCTGCATGTGGTTCAGGTTCTGAAGTTGGTTCAGGCTCTGAGCTTGGTTGAGGTTCTGAAGTTGGTTCAGGTTCTGATGTTGGTTCAGGTTGTGCTTTAGATCTGTGTGTTGTGTGTGATATGGAATTTGGCAGGCTAGACTTGGGCTTGGAAACTGATTCTGAAACAGGTTCTGGTTCTGAGCTTGGTTCTGGCTCAGATTTGGGCTCAGGTTCTGAGCTTGGCTCCAGTTCAGCTGCAGATGTTTTACCTATTAAACACAGAAACAGTACCATGCCACAGCCAAGACAGAAAACCAGTCACCACACCCAAATTCTTTGCTGACTACAGCCAAGTGCAAATAAATAAACATTGTTTTAACTGCTTGTGGAATATTGCTACATCAGAAAAATCTCACTTCATAGGAGTGTTGACACAATATATACTTGCAATGTATTTATACCTCTAGCAAAATTCATGTTTCTTTGAAGCCTGCTTATAACAGAATCCCAAGATACCTGAACTTATTTCTGTTTTAAACAGGTACTTCTATGCATAAACTATATTGTACAGTCCCTTTTTTTTGCATATTTATAACCGAAGTCAAAAGTTAAAAATTCATGCCTCATATTTACATTTCCTGTTGTAGTGCACATTCTCAGTTTTCTTTCCTATTTTCTTTATATATTGTCTTTTCCATGAAACCATTTACATGTTCTGGATACATTATTGGAGGTGGGACTTAATTTTTCCCACTCTCAAACAGGGATGCTCTTTCTCTGATAAGGTCCAGGAAGCACAGTTGAGAAAAAATTGCAAGAACGGAAAGCTGTGAATATTCATTCAAAATGTTTTGCATTGAATTCTTGTTTCACCTATCTAGTTCCTCATTAAACAGTTTCTATTTATTAGAGATAATTTAACTTTAATTTTCATTCTGCATTATAATTTTCTAATTTACAATTTTCTGTTGCTTCTGTCATAAGTAAAGATAGTATTTACCAAACTTCTAACCATTTAGCTAACAAGTTCTCTGTAACTAATGATTAATCATGCAATTTTATGGTAAATACTATATCAAAAAAGTAAAATATGTAAAGAGTACTAACACATATTTACATGTGGCACTAGTATATTCACTGTCAATAACATATACATGCTTAATGCACAACAAACACATATCAGGGATATTACTGAACAACCTATCAGCACACTAATTCACAGAAATGTGGAACACAAGAATGAAAGAAAGAAATGAAAAAAACCACACAGCGTACTGACAAATGTAACATCAAGTATGAAAATTTTACATGCTACGAATTTATAATACAGAGCAATTCAAAAAGTCACTTTGCACCTATAATATAATTTTCTTTACATAAAGTACATATTCATTTACCTTATCCTACAAACAGTGAGTGTTGGAAATGGTCTCCATGAATGTGCACACATATCCACATGTTCATAATAAACACACTACAATTCAGATTGGGAGATATTTTGAATAGCATTAATGAAAGCTTCAGTGAGTTCTTGGACAGTATGGGAACTTTGTAAACATCTCCTCTTAGCATTCTCCAAAAATAATGATCAAGTGGTAAAATAACAGGAGACGTGCAGCTATATTCTCTTCAAATTAATTTTTGCTATGGTGTACATAAACTGCAGTCTTAACTGTGTATTGTTTGTCTCCTTTATCTCTTATAAGGCTAGGTCTATTTTCATGAGTCACCATTATCTAGCTCAGATATTGCAGCACTTTACAGGAAAAAAATTAAGAAGCTGTAAAAATTGTTGGCCTGAAATTCCAATAATATCTGAAACATGACAGAGAAAACAATGAAATGTTGAAATCCCTGCACCGATGTACAAATAGAGCTACACATGCCACCTTTCATGGAACTAGAGATTATCAATTAAAAATACAAAAAAAAAACTTTATACTATAAATACATACAGATGGTTATGTTTTGCAGTTTGTTTTACATTACAGAGGACAGGAATTGAATCATTTTGATCTACACAAACAGCATGTGTTTATATTAAGCCACGTGTAAATTATTGCACTGTGGTTCTGGAACAGGACAAAAAATTTGAAGTGACTACATGTTTGTAATAGATTTTTAAAAATAAAATGTCTACTCCTTCCATTTTCACTTCATTTCAAAGCATAACTGCTATAATTTATAAATTATTTTTCTGTCTCTTATCAATACATGGGGGTTCTGTAGTATTTGGTTTACATGGCATAGGACAGTATTTATCAGACTGTGTTCTGTGGAACCCTAGGGTTCCGCGAAGTAGCCTCAGGGTTCTGTGACAGAATTCTGTCTAGTGACAAGACAATGCCTTTGATGTTACAAGAATACAGTTAACATCATGAATTTCCTCATTACTCTTTAAGTCACGCCTGTTTAGGGAAACAAAATTACCAGTCATTCTGTAGGCATTATGTGCATTCCAAACGCAAAAATGTATGTCGGTTGGCGCACCCATTCAGGACATGGTATTTTGGTGACAACAATTGAAACTAGTGCTGAATGGCAATTCTTAATATATATTTTCTGGTTCGTGCCAGTTTTCATATAGATAGGACAGAGAGCTGAGTGGTGTTAATTATTTACCAGACATGAAATCTAAGTCATGGCATTACTGGATACAGCATTGAAATTAATGACAAAAATTTTTACAGGCAAAATTAACTCCACTGTACAGCTTTCAGAGAAACAAGAAGGTCTTCAAAAAGGAAGATCATGTGCTTGATGCCATCTTCGTACTATGACAAGTAGTCGAAAAATCATTGGAATTTAATAAGCCTGCATTCTGGTGTTTCGCTGGCCTTCAAAAAGCTTTCGATATAATTCTGTGACCGGATGTATTACAACTTCTTATAAATAAATCATTAGCTGAGAATAGAGTACTTATAGTTCAAGATATATACCAGAACAATCAAATTAAGAATCTGTAAATGGAGAATGTTTGGGTTCAATTAAAGTAAATAGCTGAATTAGACACAGAAATTTTAAGCCCCTTACTATTTAATATTATTATGAATGAAATCATAAACGAAGTAAAAAGGGTAGGGAATATAAAATGAAAAGAGATGAAATAACGATATGCTACACAGATGACGCGGTTCTAGTAGCAGAATCAGAAGCTGATTTACAAAGACTCTTGCATACTTTTAATCAAAACGTAAGCAGTATAACATGATTATATCAACTGAAAATACGAAGTGTGTGAAAATCAATAAGGAGCCTATTAAGTGTAAACTTGAAGTCAAAAGAAAAGTAACTGAACAAGTATTTAATTTTAACTATCTAGGAGTGAACACAATTAGTCAAGGAATAGTAAAAAGAAGAAGAAGTAGGGTAAGACTTTGAGAGACGGAGTTAGACGCGAGAACATTCGAGCAGTGTTACATACAGCCAATATATGCGTGGGTGTTAGGAGTATATACTGGAATGACCGTATCGGCAGAATGGATCTACAAAGAATCTGCAAAATTGCAAGAGATAAGTCAGGTCGCCTCTAGGATAAAAAAATGTAGGAAGACCCGCGAAGAGGTGTAGGGATTCTCTTTGACTGGAAAGAACAGGAAATCAGCCTATTATAAGAGAAAGAAGAAGAAGAAGAAGAAGAAGAAATCTATGTTATCAATGGATGTGTAAAATTTTCGTCTTCTTGAACCTTTATAATGTATCGCTGGCTCTAAATCGGAAATTTGAAGGAAACGGGAAAAAAACAGAGCAACTACAATTACACGAGAACCAGAAAGAGATTAGGCTGCAAATACTGCAGGTGTATCAAAGTACAAAAGAAACGTAAATATATGATGACAATTATCTTCAGCTTTGATTTATGGATGTTGATGTATCAGTGCTCCTCATCCCGTGCTTATACGTCATCAAACTTTAGTAATTAGTTCCATTCCCGCAAAATTACAACGAAACTCCTAGTTTTGATTAACTGAAACTCAAAAGTAATCTGACATTAGATATTAAAGGTGAAAATAGTAAAGTGTCTTTAGCTTCGTACAATGTGTTACCGTGTTGCTCAGTGCATCAAGCCATCGCTGTGAAAGATTTCAAACGCACAGCAAAGGTGTTTGATGGCGTTGTAGAGATAATATATGAACATTGATTTCAAGAATTTCAGCGCGCTTTGTGACGAAATGGGCATCAGTTACAGAACGCTGCTACAGCATATGAAGGTGCAATGGTTATCTCGAGGTACATTTTTTGTTCATGCACTCAAAAATACAAAATGTTTTATTAGTAATAGGTCCCGCGAAAGGTGCTGGCACTTGCGCAAGGGACTGATTCGATGCACCAGTGCAGTTACAACAACGAAATAAGTTGGCACGTCTACAGATAGTTTCATGATCACACGAAACAGTCTACTTTTGGTCACTACAGTACTAGTGCCGACCTTAACTCAAGTGATGTCGCTACTGTTATTAGCATTGCTCACGTAGATATGCTCGAGCATTGTTTATGGCCCCAGCTCAGGGAGGACTTTCCTGGTCGGTTACTGTTCCAACAGGATGACGTACAAACACATTTTCACTTGGCCGTGTGGGCGTTTCTCGATAATCAGCAGCCACAAATTTCACAGTCCTTGCCAAATCTACGAAATCTTATCTCAGATATTGAAGGCGATGTAGTAATGCTACAGCGCACATTGGCTCGCGTACCACCAGTGGTACGCGTACCATAGGTTGAGAAACGCTTGCCTTGACGAATTTGTGGTGCGCACTCTGAACATATGTAAACAATACTTGAAATGTTTCTCTGCATGTTTCAAGTTATTTGATACCCAAGTGCATTAAATATGTGAACCAATTGTAATCTTCATAATAATTTTTATGTACCCTGCATTTTTATTTAGTTTTGGCCATATTTCCAGCTGACATCACGTCTCTGTGACACTGCGGTTCCTGAGATTAGCATGGCCAGCACGAATTTTTACAGAGATAAATTAAGTAAATTTATCATTCCAAGAGGAACGATTATCACAATTGCCTCCGCACATAAAAAACTTTAATCCTTTTTATATAAATTGTAGTTTTGGAGGACACATTCTGAAAAAGACACAGACTGTTTTCTGACACTGGATGATATTTTAATGAGCTTGAGAATCAGATAAGTGATGGTGTTCTTTCATTTATAATGGAGTGCTTACGAGATCTATAAATTAACAGTGACACACTATCGTACATCAGAGCTGTGGCGGAAAGTTTTCATTGGTTACAAAACCTGTTCATGTTATTTCTCGCAGAGCAAGAAAACAATATGAAGAATTGATTATTTCAACAGACAGGTTTGAACAATATGTACACAGATATTCCTCTGATTAACTTTTGGGCTGAACTGAAGGAAGAGATTCCACATGATAGAATGTTGTTGTAAAGAAGCTACTTCCATTTCCATATCTGTGTGAAATAGTGTTCTGAACGTACTCGGTAACAAGAACAAAATATCTGCATGGGTTTAATTCAGAACCAGACATGAAGATACGGGTTTCGAGAACCGTACTCGACTTCAGTTCTCTAGTAGTCAGCAAACAGGTCCACCTGCTGTACTATGTAAGTAAACTATTCCCTAAAATTATGAGATAGATTTAACTTAAATTCCTGCAAATGGTGTTATAAATGAAAAACAAGTTCCACAAAAATATTTTGTTCCCAAAAGGGTTCCACAGCAGTGGAAGTTTGGAATATCATTTTCGTAGAGCATTCATTATGTACAATGTGCAGCTGTGCACTTCGCTGAGGCCATCACAGAACATGCAGTCCTTATATGCATCACATTTAATATGCTCTTAACATTGTAACATTGTACTTACCCTGAGTGTTATTCTGTTTCGGAGTCTCTCTCCTCCTACGACCTGGGAAGAAAAACATCATGTTCAGCAAACATTACTACCTGGGAATTTCCAGCCCATGTTTTTATCACTGAATACAGACATAGCTCCATATTTACAAGAGATATGTGACTGAGTTGATCAGGAATAATGTTGTGAGGTATTAATTTAATATAAATCCTTCTTTATGCGAAGCTTAATTAAAAGTTATAAATATTCTCAAAAATGGTTCATCACAAAAGAATATTATGACAAAAAGGAAATTCATATCTCATTAAAATCTATAATTGTTATTTGAGACATTTATCGATATTGTGTATCACTGCATGATATCTTGCAAAGTTTTAATTACATATTCAAATTGAACTGTATCATACATTTACTGATTTAATACAGATAGCAACTTTGTCCTTCACCATTCTGAAAAAAAATATAAGAATCCCTTAATAAAGACAACTTATACTTCAGCTAAACTATTATTGAGAGGGGCGTACACACAATTCCTTCATACAATGTCACTGAACATAAAAACATGGACAAGCAAAATAATAATTGTATAATAAGGATCTATTACTAAGTTCTGGTAGGTTGATTTAGCAGTAATTCTCTTTTAGAAGGTAGTTTGTTGAAAATTCTAATTGATTATTAGTCGTAGTTTTATTCTCTCTCCAGGCACATGCCAGGCTAGTATTTTAAAACAGACTGCAGTCACTTCCTTCCAAATTCTTACCTATTTACTGTTCATGATCATTTTCTTATCTCATTTGGCACTAAGTAATATCTGTAGCTGAAAGTGTGTCATTTAATAGCATAAGAATCAATCAGAATCACTCGGTACCTGATGAAAAATGTGGGTCACTGGTAAGCAGATCCATTCATTCAAACTGTATCAATTCTTTTTGTTTCAACATACTTGCTTCAGATACAAAAGTAACGTGTCTCAGTCAAGCCACAACGCTGTACTCGCTGATACAGCTATTATACTACATCATCATATTTTATTTGAAGTGCACATTAGTGGAATATGCATGTGGCAGGCCATGCTCTTACCTTGAGAAGAACTGACTCTGAAAGACACACTTGTTTCTACAGTTACATCTGTGTCTGTGGCAGGTGAACTGTTGTAGTTCTTGGTTTCGCGAGATGAAACAACTTTGTTATGCTTGGCTTTCTCTGTATGTCCTGGTTCAGGTTCCACTTTAGGTTCAGGTTCACTGCTTGGCTCTGATTTGCTGGTTGGTTCAGGTTCAGTGGTAGGTTCTGGTTTTCCTGAATGTTCAGGATGAGGTTCAGGTCTACCTATTACCGTTTCAGTGTTTTGCTTTCCATCTTTGTTTTCTGGGTCCTCCAAGTATGGGAAGTTGCGACATGAAGCTGTTAGATGGCGTGGTCGCCAACCCAGACCAACATAACTTGTACCATTCACAACCATCACTACTTCCAACTCTTGCTGTTCCCGCATGATTTTCCAATATAACGTAAAAGTGCTACTCAAATCTCGTTTGCTATATGCAGTGAAGTCTAGATCCATAGATTTGACTGGAGAACCTAAGTAGAACAAAGAAAAACCTTGTTAATATGATTGTCAGATGACCTAAGAATTAACTAAGAGTAACTTTAGCAGGAAGGAAATTGTTAAACAACTTACTGAAATAAAAGTCATTTTTGAGCCCAACACATAATTCTCCCCCTCCTTCACTATCTTTATAGCTGTCATGACTAACTGAACTACCTCCATGAAGCAAAATGTTTCTTGAGAAGCCGATAGTACGCTCACCGAGTCACGAAACTCCCCACCTTTTATGAAACCCAAAGGTTCATTACCGTGTTCACAAGAACTTGCTAACAGTCCTTGTTCTGAGCCATATGAATCCAGTCCACACCCCCAAACAATATTTCCTTAAGATCCAATTTGATATTATCCTCCTATGTATGACTAGGTCTTTTTGAGTGGTCTCTTCCCTTCAGGTTTTCCACAGTTTTTGTACGCATTTCTCATCTCCCCCAAACATGTTATATGCCCAGTCCACTTCATCATCTTTGGTTTAATGTTTATATACAGCTGACATATTGTACAAAACTGTATGAATATTTATTTAAATGTGGTGTGCCCTACTTGTTTATTGGAATCAGACTGTACCCATATAGTGCCACTTTTGGCATAAGATGCGGTATATAACATGTGCATGATCAGTTTATTTTCATGGGATAGGAAACATGATACAATAGTCAATATTTATCTAATAGAGAGTATAATTTTATTAAATTCAATCATATTTTAAAGAAAATTCTAACTACAATACTGTTGTAAAAGATAATTCATTGCTAGCCAGATTAGAAAAGTTTTCCGAGTCCTGATATTATTTGTGAAAGTTTAAACAAAATGAAAGTAAGCTACGAGTTGGAAGCAAGGATGCTTCGTGTGAAAACGTCCTCTTGGTTGCTGTGAAACTAATTTCATATTTAATAACACTGGCGATTATGGAATTCATTCCTTAGGATTCTAAGTGGCAAAGTGAAAAGTAAAGATTAGTCAAGAAAAACACATGTAATTGTGATTAGGCATTTCAAGAAGAATGTCAAAGGTCATGATGAACACTATAGCAAATTATTATACTGTAAAGCAAGCAGGGGTAAATTCTTAATTCATGTACATTTTGAGTGTCAAGACAACCTAGAAGTAACACAAAAACTGAAAAATGAATCACTAAACTATGAGAGGATTCATATTGAAGCAAATACAGTGTTGTTATTTATGAGAGGATGATTCTAGATGGAGATTTACAAGTAGGAATGTTTTACTCTACCATCTGACTTAAGTTTGAAACATGCGAGAACTCCTTATCACAGAGTTCCTCCACGAAAGCAGAGTTACACCAAGGAAACTTTTGTCAGCTAGGAAATATAAGATGTGACAGATTATTGGACTGATGCTTTTGTGCTACAACTGAAGGCATTGGTGAGCAGGTGCATTTTGGATCATACAGCTACATGATTCAGAAGTTTGTGCCAAACAGTCATTGAAAATCAATTTGTTTTATAGTTACGTTGTTTATTTTGTCAGAAATATGGTGATAAGTTGTTAGATGAGAGAAATATTAAACATTTAGTGAAATTGGAGAAAAATGCCACTAATACAGTATTTACAACATATTATGGAAAGTTTATAAACAGAACAGCAAGTAGAATACATATTCTTGGCAGATGAAGTGATTTATGAATGGAAGGGAAGACATTAACACAAAGTTGACTTTCAGAGCATAGCAAAGAACAGAAAATGAATTGACAAAAAATGCCAAATAGGGTTTGAGTTTCTCACTGCAATGAACATGAAGATTGCTGTCTTCTGGGTTGTAGCGCTGTGTAAATAATATGCCCCTGAGAGTCAAGGTGGTAACTTGTACAGTCCTATGAGGAGACTGCCAATTATCCCCACCCATACATTAATTTTAAATTGATGCCTCATCACTGCAAAATATTTCCAAATCTTGGTAACAAAGTGTTTGTGACCTTATGTCTACAGGAAATTTAGGGCTTGATTCTAGGGGTAGAGCATGAACCTTATATTTATTGTATGCAACTAAGAATCACGTGTGTGTGTATGAAATCAGTTCAGTTATTTGTTAGACCTTGTAATAATCAGTGCTTATAAGTGAAGAGCCTAGTCTGGTTAATTGGGCCATTGGTTAATAGGGGCAGCAATTTATTTGGGACAAGTCTTATGAACAAACCTTTTTAACTCTTCCCGTGGAATTTCACATAATTGGGGCAGCCTCTTAATTGGGCCAAAGTGTTCTAGTCCTGATGTGACCCAATTAACTGGAATCCACTGTATAAATTTAATGTGTAAAAAGATCATAATTACACCAACTGAAATAAGGTACCACTTCGCTGATGTTAGGTTGGGTTAGGCATGATGGTACTTATAATACTTATCTTTTAGAAAGATACAGTTTGGAAACATTAAAAAATTTACAAATAAGTATGTTACATAGGCCTACAAAATTTGTATTGTATATATGTACACTAGAAAGTTTAAGCAATCACTGCAATGTACAGTTTGCCTTCTAGCTTCATAAATATTATAATTTTTTAATTAATTCATATAACATTTACTTTATTCAAATCTCTCTTAAATGCAATTAACTTACGTTTTGTACACTCTGGTCCATACCACCCCATTTCACAATAACACTGCTTCCGAGGAGCTGTAGTGGCTTCAATATTAATACATATCCCTCTGTCTCCGCAATCATTATTATCAAAACATTCATCCTTGTATTGGCAACGAGGACCATAATACAGTCGATCACAACGACATTTTGACAGCAGGTAGCGTCCGTGACCACTGCAGTCTTCTTTAAATTCTTTTTCTGCAAAATCAAGATTTTTCCATCAGAAATTTTAAGTGCCAAAATTTATACAAAGAAAACAATTTTGCTTTATTAAAGTATTCTGCTGTAGTATGGGGCATATTCTACTTACTTGAATGGATGTCCACATCAGCACAGGTCCAGAAACGATAGGATTTACCCCACTCCTCAGCTTGCCTCATCAAACGTATTGTACAGTCACTGCAGTTGAAGTCAGGTGGCAACTGCACAAAATGTGACTGTGCTCTGTGTGAAGAACAATCAGAATTATTCCTGATAGCTGCTCAGTTAGAAAAATGGTTTGAGAAGCTTCACTGAAGGATATAAACTGTATGACGTCTAGACATCCAGTACAGACATACAGAAATGTTTCACTTCCTCCCACCTCTGCCTCATAAACATACACATGCATAGAGAGCATATTATATGTGTAAAGATGTCTTTGACCATATTTCCCTTTGGAAAGAGAAACTTGTTCTTATCTGTTGTTTTCAGTTGTAATGTGAGAATGTTTATTAACATGCTAAAATGTACCATACATGTAACAGTAATTTATTCTTCAAAATGCAGTGTATACTCGCGGCATACTGACTACCTCAATAAATCTAGTAAAGTGCTCAAGCTGATAATTTTTCAGCACAACCATCAAATCCTATCCTCAAGGAGGGGGGATGAGGAATAGTACTCAGCGCCTCAAAACTGAGTCCTTCTGGCTATTTTATGGTAACCCAGACAGAAGAGTCCCTGGTCCTCCAGGTTGGGGGTTGAGCGAAGGGCCAACAACCCGGCCTTGTAAAAAAGAATAAAGTTGAGAATAATTTGATGAATGAAACCGGACTGTCCTCACAAAGACGAACATTAGCAAGGAACAAGGATAAAAATATGGTACTATAGATGACGTGGAGGAGGATGTAAGGACGATGGGAGTGAGCGGATGGAGAAGAATTGTGAATGACAGGACAGAATGGAAAAAAAACTCGTCGAACAAGCTAAGACCCACATAGGGTTATAACGCTACAACAAGAAGAAGAAGAAGATACTCGCGGCATGTATGTCATCCATTGTTTCATTGCTTGTTGCATCTTCACATGATCAATATTATCAAGTTGACAGCAGGTCTTAATTTTTCTTGGATTGTACCTGATTGTACCACATAGTTCTTCTTGGATAATGCATAATTATGCCGGTATTGAATGATATTTGTTGACGTGAGTACAGACTATATTTTTAAGAATAAATTACTGTTACAATAAAAAAATGTTTTGTATGACGCCTTCTTTTGTTTAACACTTTGAAGCATTAACCTGAGTTAAATAATATGTAAAGTCCGGTTCCTACTTCCAAGAAAATACATCATGTCTGTTACAAAAATCCTGTAAGATCTTTATTTAGGAAGATAATAGCTGTTTATTCTGAGAACCAAAACGCATAAATATACTTTCTAAATTAAATTATGAGTCTTTAATTTAATTGTGTTTATTTATTTATTTATTTGAGCGGGTAGCACAAAAATTTGTCATTGTGCTTCTAAAAGGTTCCCATTTATATAAAGGGAACACTTACACACTGTTTGAATTCTTTATATTTTTAAATGCTCAATGAATTTTTAAAATACAGCAGATGAGATCATGAATATAAAAGCTCACCACCTAACGATGTTGGTATTTCACTACATTTCAGGTGCTACATATAAAACATTATTTTATTTAGTGTTCTGTCTGACGACAGGTCCATATGAACAGGATCCTTCGATCCTTTTCTCGGACTGGGACCTGTTCATATACGTTCTTGGCAGATGATCCAGAAGTGGTTTGCCATTGCCTTCTTCTGTGTGTGAATGGAGTAATTGTTGGGATGCCACGGAGGAAAACTCCGTGTTACCTAGACCACGGCCTTGCCCAACACAAGATATAAATTCGGGCACCGCCGGGAATCGAACATTACAAATAAACTTCTTTGTACTTTGTTTTAAAAAACAATTCATGTTATTCTGGCTAAGTAACAGACCACATTTGAAATCAAACCAGATAATTTGCAAATAATTATTGTTTTAAACCATAGATCCTGATCTTTTAATCTTTTGGAAAGTAGACATGACAGTACCAGTTTTTGAACTGAATGATACCAAACATTTCCATAGCAGATTTACACTTCTCCTAATGCCATCTTAAATTTATTTTGTATTTGTTAGTGTCAGACACCTAAATGGCTAAATTATGAAGAATTTTAAGTTATTTATTGCCCATAATATTATCAACTAGAGGCCTCTGGGAGTTGGTTCTGGCAGAAACAACTTCAGGATACTTACGTTACATCATTTTTAACAAATTCAGAGTCTGCTGTTACAGGAGTAAGATCAAGAACTGGTCGCTGTAAGGTATCCAATACTTGCAATTTGTAGCCTCCCTATAAGACAAAACAGAAAAATTAGGTTAGAATTATAGCTGTTATAATCTGTAGTGCTGTGTAATCTGGTAGAAGTGCTGATGATCACCCCAATGATGGAGGCAAGAAGGACCTCTGAAGATAGTCATCTTTGTACTCACTGCTGAGAAAACCTCGAATCTGCTTGGCTGCATGAAGTTACTTTTTAGTATAAGCGTTTCTTCAGAAAATGATGTATAAAAGTAATGGAAAGTAAGGGTAATGGTTGTGTGAGGTTTTCTCAAATTGGTACCCGGTAATCAAGTAGTTCATTAGCTGAGTGAGAATTTGTCCCTTGAATTCTTCAATGTGTTACAAATTAAACATTTAGTCATTCTGCATTGAGTGACTTCATGTACAGTCACAGAAAATTAAATTAACCCACACTTTTACTTAGAACACCATTTTAGACCCATTAATGTGGATGTTATTAATTAAATCTCTAAAAAGGGAGGGCTGCAATATGAGACAGTTTACGAAGCGATGTCAAGGCCACTCGGTGTCTGTGGGATTTATTTTACTGTTGTTCATTGATATTTAACAATGATTTTCTAAAATGTGCTTGTTATGTATGATTCTCTGAATTTTCGATGCATTACACAGAAGAAAATGTTGAATATTGAGGCAACTCCAGCCAGTCAAGAAATTCCCCGCATTTTGTGGAAACCAAAGTTTCATTACCGTGTTCACAACAGCCCGCCACAGGTCCCTGACCTGACCTTCTTAGGTCGTTCCAAAGAATCCGAGACCTGTGTAACATTTCGCAACATGCTGTTGAAATTCCCCGCACAACCGCCATGTTTTAGTACCCCCTGTGGGCTGTCCGCGACTACTTATTAAGTACATTCGAAGCTATCCTTTGTACATGTAGGCCATATCCTCCATCTGCGAGCTGAGGATGCATCATGCTGTGGTGATAGGGGACCCTCTTAACCCGTTGAGTGTATACATAGGACGTGTATAAAATAATTCTGGCGTTTCGAAGTTAATTGTTTATTACATATGACAAAAATAGCAACGAAGAAAGTGTTTCACAAATAAATGAATGTCTTTTACATATTTTATTTCGAAATGAGCGTCGTTAATAGCTCGGCACACGTCCAACGTGTAATTCAGTTGTTGCTATGTGAGCTTCAACGGATGTTGTGTAATTACATCTGCAGCCTTCGACAGTCTTCCCTTCAGCTATCTTCGCGAGTTCACTTCCTAGAAGACGACAACCTGCCACACACACACCCCCCCCCCAAAAAAAAAAAAAAAAATTAACGGACCGAATTAGATGAACTGGGAGGCCGAGAAATCGGTCCCCCTCTTCCCATTCACTTAATAAGAAATTGGTCATTCTACGTCTGTTGCACGAAATGTTAGGACAGTGAGATGGAGTTGGTTAGCAAAGTACTGCCGAACCTGTGCCAGAAATTCAAAGCATTAAGAGGCAACTCTCCTGGAGCGAGCCCGGTCCGTCATTCTACAAAGCATTGTAGCAAATGGCAATTTGGCAGTTGCTCATGCGAACCGGTAGTTAACAAAGTTTTGTAGCACGTCTCTTGTGCTGCGGTGCGCCATCTTGTTGGTAGATATGTTCGCGCGTCCTTCAACCTATAGAAAAAAGCGTAGCCTTATAGCACGTTCAAATATATATTGTCATTAGTTGGGTCCCCCCCCCCCCCCCCCCCAGTATGTCACTTCTATGTAACTTGATAACTCGCGGCGATGAAGTTGCCGATGTTAGCTTTCCGGGTTATAACGCCGTGTGGACTTCGGTCGATAACAATGTTTCGTCATCAGGTCTGGAGGCAGCATGTTCCTACGAAACGGTGGTGTCTACCTAAAAGCGCTCACGGCGTTACAACCCAAGATCGACGTGGATTCCACTTCCGTGCTTGAAGTCCACGACACACATTCGCCTCGTTCGACATGTTCTTCGTTTTCGCAGGACGGATTAGAAACTAAAATTCTACGGTGGTGAGCATTTACACTACTTCAGATAGCCATCGCCTTTTTGACGCATCACATTCAAGATCATATCATATATCAACCGGTGGGCCGCATACGTGGTGTTTTGTGCGACCAGCATAGATTTTTTTTTGCAATGCTGTCACTCTGTATGATAAACAGTAGTTACCTGATATCAGAAAACTAGTCTTGTTAAGGCCCTCAGTATTTGACGTTAACTTTCGTTATGAACACCTGTTCATCTTTATGAAAACCATCATATCAGTAGCTCCTTACTCATAAACACTTGAAGGGATGCATGCGAATTGCAGTAACAGAAACCTGATACCAACTGATTATTCAAACACACGCAGTGGTAAACACATCACTAAGGGCTACATTTATTAAAGGAAAATTACTGAGTAATTGATTATTAGCAATAGTAGGCCTAATTTAATAGCATTTTGAAGAAACTGCCACGCCAATTCAATAAATGGCTTCATTTATAACCTTGCCCGCGACTCTAAGCAAAGGTGAATGTGGTCACCGGCCTGGAAAAGGTTTGAGAACCCTTGCCTTAACCAAAGTTGCATCCATAATTTTATTCCTGTGTCATTGCTAGTGTTGCTTTGAATGCAAATTACAGTACTTAGATGTCAGAGACAAGAACCGTTTAGAACCATGTAAGCATTCATAGCACGAGGACCTCAGGCAGAAGGATTTACTCAGGAGTAGTTCAGTCTGCTGCGAGACAGCAGGTGCTAATAAACACAGGTTTCCCTAGCGATATTAGGCGAAGGATACAAATTAAAATTCTGATCAGAAGCGAACTAGCCATTTTTGGGGAAGTTCAAAGACCTTCTACAGTTACTGGTACTAAGTCGCAAAAGTCTAATGCAGGCAATTGGAGGCTGTTTATGTTTCTAACCAAGCAACAAGTAGCCCTCTCGCTTCGTTCCCAGATTTTAGTTTCAGACTGACAAAATTCACTGATTTTTTTAAGGACATGTAGACTATGATCGATGCGCTTCCGTAGTGTCGTTCCATCTGTGCTTAGGTCTTCCGAGTGGATCTCTTACCTTCACGCTTTCCAGCCAATATTCTGTAGCAGGAAATTAGAGTCTATGAGCACAGGATACAGGATAATTACAATGAGAAAAGACAAAATTTAGTCGTATGTAGTGTACACTTTTCTGGTCTTGTTAGAACTGAGACTGAGATAAAATGTTCTGAGCTGACTGGCTATGTTACATTTATTTCCATTTTATGCGTTCTTTGCACAAGAGGTGTAAACGAATAGGCAACGAAGAGATAGTGTCTCCTCGTCTGTCCGTCCGAGTTCTTCATATTCGACACTACTGAATGGACTTATTTTAAATTTAGTATCGGAAGTACACACTAGGATTTATTTGGGCTAATTTAATTCTGGTGCGTAGACTGTTGGTCAATTATAAAACTTGTACTTTACATGTTGCCCAAACTATACTTATAAGATGTTTAAAGAATTGTCCGCCGTACAAAATATTAGTACTTGATATTAAATGTAGTTACTATTAAGGTATAACTTTTAATTTAAATGGTTTCGGTGACTTATGATTATGCGTATTGTGGCAACTAGTGTGAACAGCTTTCCATAGATTTGCACCAGAAAATATAAACACCAGTGTCAATGAAATATGCAAACTAAATAACGCATTTGGAAAATAACTCCATTCTTCTTAGTAATGAGTTACACACGACATACCATAGGTCCACGAAGACTATGCTCCTGAGACAATACAAAATAAAATGTACTCTCTACCTTAACGGTACGCAACAATTGTGTTCATAACAAAGAAACCTGTTCTTTTGTGCTTTATGATTATAATGGGGGGTGCGTGGAATTCATTAATGTATAAGTATATAGTAGGATCTTATTAAGATTCCGAATGTTTGTGCGCTTGAGTGAAAGTTGCGAATTTCTTCTGTAATTCATTATTTCAATCTATCTCAGCATCTTCTCTTTTGCTCAATGTCATTGTTCTTTGCATATGCCTTTGCTTCACTTTGTCAGAAACATAATCCACGCTTTTATTCAATTTAGTGTCTCCACTGTTTCTGCCAGCTATAAAATGCCTAAAGACCAATCGGAAAACACAACGCATATGAAAACTCTGTGTACTCCATTGCAACACATATTTGAACTTTATTAACTAATTAATTACTGACAGGTGTTCAAAATTTAGTCTTTTTAATTGAAATTGTCACACCGTTTATGGCTTGTTTATTTTCTTATGCGTCCTTTGTAATGAGTGCTTAAAATAATTCATATTTTGCAACAGTGTCTGTCTGAATGTCCCAAAACCACTTCATGGATTATAGAAATTTCGGAAAAATACGCGCGGACCATCGAGTACATCTTCCAATCTTGTTTAAACGGCGACTGCGCAGATTCATTTAATTTCTTCTCGTACTAGTGAAGACGGTAATCATTTGTCGTTCTTCTACGTACAAGAAGTGACGTGTTTAAAGGATAAATAACAGTTTTCTCGCCTACCATGTCAGGAAGCATTTCTTAGTCGCTCAGGTAAGGTTCGTTGAGCTTCTGTTGCGTGTAAAAACACGCTCCCCATGGTCACAAGCTGTGCATCTCATGTCTGAGTCGTTTCTTGTGTCTCAACAGTAAAATTAGCAACGGTAGTCAAACTTTTTCCCCTGCCAAGTTGTATGGACCTATACAAACGCCGACCTCGTTCCTTCCTCCTTGCAGATAAATAAAAATACTGTGACATTGAGTAGCATCACTCTCTTGAGTATTTCATGAAAATGGTATTAGGAGACTTCAATGCAAGAGTAGAACGAGAGTATATTACAACTGGGAAAAAGATCTCAAGACTGTGTAAGGCTCGCTGAAGAATAATGACAGTAGAGCAATCACACACACGCATATATTTAATCTTTTTGTTTCAAGATTTGTGATTATTTAAATATTGTTGTTATTGTGCAAGCTGAACACATAGCTCATATACTCGTCCTCCAAGCCTACGAATAAAAACCCATGGCTGGCG